AATTTTTAAATCTTCAAACTAAATTCAATTTAAATATCTTAAATCAATTCATTTGTGCTGCATGTGCATTTTGTGAACGTTTAATGTATCCTGAAAAATGTAAATGGCTAAATTATGATAAAACTTTATTTTATCCTCTTTTACAAGCATATCCCAAAAAACAATCTGAATTACTATTAACATTTCATATTAAACCTCCAAAACGTATTGCTATATATTTATCGTGTAAAAATCTTACAATAAGATATATATTTCCATTTCTTTATCCTATTCCAAATGAAATTCAAGTAGTACCTTTAGAAAAAACAATATATTTATCTCCTGTATTTATGCATTATTCTTTAGGTAGAAATTCTAAATATAGTACAATATATTCTGAATATAAAACTTTAACTGATACAATGAATTTCTCAAAAAATATGCGTTCATTAATATTATATTCTGGAATGGTTGGTGCTTATCTTGAAGATAATTATCTAATAGCAGATACTTCTTAGCTTAATAATATGTTAATCACAGCAACTGATTAACTAAAATTATATAATACTTTCTTAAAAAATTATTCACGTTTTTCAAATCTATATGGTTCTAATACTGCAAATTCATTTTTCAATACTTTTGATTTACCTGATGATAATTTTGTACCACCATTTTTACCTAATGATATTATAGTATCTAATTTTAATTTTAACGTTGAAATTCACAATGAAGATTATTATTATTCAAACTTAATGGTAGGATTTATTAGAATACCTGATAATACATTATTACTTTTAAGTATAAATGATCCAAATCTAGAAGGATTATTATTTCCTTATTTATTTCTAAATGGAAAAGGATACTATCAAAATATTAATCTTAATTTAAATGCAGAAAATATTACACGTAAAAAAACTTATTCTAAATATATTAAACAACGCATACTTAATATAGATTCTTGATTTAGACTTTATCATAAATAGATGGTATGATTATATTTACAATTGGAAAAGATTCAAAATTATCAAAATAATCAACGAATTTTAAGACAAAATCAAGCTGATAAGGTTCATCGACCTCTAACTGAAGCACAAATTATTCAAAAATCAAGCTATTCTAATAGATAAATAATAGATGAATCTATAATAACTACATTGCCAACATTTATTCATACTGGTGATACTTACTTTAATAAAAAAGAACTTCATGTAAATACAATAATTTCTTCATATAGGTTACTATCTTTATTTATTATACTTATGATGGCAGAAAATCAATGGATACATTTACATATAATTCTAAAAGCAACAGACAATCATAATACTATACCAACAAATAGACTTTTGCATAGTACATTACATTTTATTTATTGTTTACAACAACTTAAAAAACACATTTGGAAAAAACCTGACCTGAGCATTCAAAGTGAGGCAAAATTTAACATTTTTTTGAAAGAGTAGAATTTCAAAATCGTGGTGCAGCACATACACATGGTATATATTGGACTACAAAAATGATTGAACAAATGATTGCTAAGAATCTTATAAGATCTGATTTACCAGATTCAGTGATGGCTATTAGACCAATTGGACTTATAAAAACTCTGTCATTTGGACTATTGGATTTAATAATTTTATAAGTCCAATAGAATTCAATTTTATTGGACTTATAAGCATAGCCAACACTGATCAGATTCCATTACTGAACCAGATTTATATGCAAAAGCAATGGCAAATCAAATTCATACATGTAATCTAAAATGTAGAGGTCCAGCAATTATAGGACAAGTTTGCAAAAAGAAATTTCCTCGTCCTTTTTCTTCAATTACATACTATGATAATAATGCACAACATTATGTATATAGATGTATAAAACCTGAGGATCAATTGCCTTGATAATCAAATATTTTCTGCTGGACAAGCTTATGTGACATTGAGTCGATGTTCAGATTGGTCTAAAGAGCACATCGCTTCTCTGCATCCTTCAGCTTTCATTACAGACAATTTGATGATTGAAGAATATAAACGCTTAGAATTAAAGGCTGCTATAGCTTTGCCTCTATAAATATGCTAATTTTAAAATTTTTCAATATTTATTTATATAGATTATAATATAGCTAATTAATACATTCTTTTATATAAAGACAAACAATTTATATATGTATTTTAAGTAATTATTGTTCTTTTCATTTTATTAGTAAATGATTCTTATAACTTGCACTGCAATAAATAGGGTAAGTTGATAAGTTGCGTGGTGACGAAGTCTCCTCTATCCGCAATTTCTAGTTATTTTAATATTTTTAAAAAGAAAAAATATTACTTACCTTCGATTCTCATAAAGAGAGGTAAGTAAATATTAAATTTTTTTTAATAATTTTTAAAAAAAAAAATATATATATTACTTACCTCTGATTCTCATTCAATCCATGAACTGCAATAAGAGTAGATCTATGAATTGGGTGGGGACGAAGTCCCCTGCTATTCGCAATTTCTAGTTTTAAAAAAAAAACCAACCAAACTTTTTTTCTTTTATAAAATTATAAAAGATATATGTGTAAGCCTAAAAAAAATTATTATCTATAATACAATAAAATATATAATTTTTCCTAAAAATTTAGGTAAATATACAATAAATGAATTTTATATAATTCTAATTAATAAAAATTTCGAAAAATGCAATTTTATCAATTTGATCAGATTTGCGATATTGATAAAGGTGAATACAATAAAGTACTTTCATTTAAGTAATTTAAGGAAAAATAATAACTATAAAATGAATATAAAGATATAGATTTAAATACGTCTAATCTACATTAGAAGAATTAAATGGATTAAATGGTAATAATTTTTTTTTCATTTAATAAATTATAATGCTTTAATAATTAACTTAGTAAGTATTTTTAAAAAGTGAATCGTACAGAATCATTATGTATGTCACCGCAAAAAAATTGTTTAAAAGCCGTTTCCACATTCAGAATTATTTAATTAATCAAATTGAGCGTAAAAAATTTTTTAAAATCCAATCCAAAAATGGGTTCAATCAATGGATTAATATTGTACATCATTCCTCATGATTTTTTTTTAAAAAAGAAGTGTTTGCTATTAAATCCTCTATTTCAAAAATTCTATTTACTAACCATAAAAGGTTAGCATATACAATTAGCCCCAAATTTTTTTTTGTGTTGTTGCAACATTATTTACTTTCTTTAAAATAACGTTAAATCAAAATTTTAAAATATGCTTGCTAAAACAGAGCCATATTATAAACTTTAATAAACACATTTGTTAAACGGATTATTGTGATCGTACAAATCTATTATCATTACTATTTAAGCGTGTTAAAAATTTATTTGTAAAGAAAATAATCTTTATCGTCAAGAAATGTGTTTGGTCACGAGGTCATCAAATCTTTATAAGAAATTCTTGTTCTTGACCCATTTAATGGATTTTGCCTTTAATTTATTTATAAGGCAATTTAATTATTAATTATAGTTAATAAAATTTTTTAAGTAAATAAAATTACATTAATTAGTAACCTTTGTATCACTTAGTACTTTGAAAAATAAATCTATTGAATTAAAATCCTTACTATTAAAGAAATAAATTGAGTTAATGGGAATATTTTTGGAAATAAAAGATCAAA